ATGCAACCAACCCATTCCCACTGCACATCGCTCGGTAGTCTCTAGAAACGTCAGAAAACAAGAAGAATGGGACTCAAACAGCAGAATCTCTCGCGAGTTTGAGAGTGCCGACGCATCAAACGGAAGAGAGAGAGGCGAGAGGGCGGCAAAGCCGCTGCTCATTCTGCATCAGGACTCCTACCTCCTCCTCCACCTCCTTCATCACGACGTCCTATCCAAGTTCCCGTCGCTTTTCTCATCGATTGTGATTTTGAATCTTATATGATGGAAAAAGAAATCATATCATTGACAGCGCAAGTAACAAGGTGCTATAGTGATAATCGGACTGCGGTTTATAGAGGACATATGGGGATAGCGGGGTGGGGAGGTAAGATGAAGGAGAGGTTTGAGGGGGTGTTGGCTGGGAATTTTAATAGTTGGAAGGGAGTGGAGTTTATGGAGGAGGGATGGTTGGAGGCGGCGGGGGTTATGGATGGGATTATGAAGGGACCTGAAGGTGGAAAGTTGTTTGGGGCTTTGGCTACGAAGAATGGATTTGAGGAGTATAAAAAGCCGGTGAAAGGACCAAAGAATCTGGAAGGGTCAAAAGGAGAATCAAGAGAATCCACACAGCCAGAAATCGAGGAAGATTTAGAACCATCAGAATCGGTTGCCGCAACCTCTGTAGCCCCAGAAACTACCTCCATCCCAGCAGTCTCAGAAACATCGCAAGTCCCCGAGCCATCAGAACCTAACCCTACCACCTCAACAAACCCACCCCCCTCCATAATCTACCTCACCTCCGACTCCCCAAACACCCTGACCACCCTCACCCCAAACACAACCTACATAATCGGCGGAATCGTCGACAAAAATCGACACAAAGGACTCTGCTACAAGCGAGCCTGCGACGCCGGCGTCGCAACCGCCAAATTACCCATTGGAGAATACATGACGATGCAAAGTCGGACTGTGTTGACGGTGAATCACGTCATGGAGATCATGATACGGTGGTTAGAGACGGGGGATTGGGGGGAGGCGTTCTTGAAGGTTATTCCGAAGAGGAAGGAGGCGAAGTTGAGGACGAAGGGGAGGGATGGTGAGGGTGAGGGTGAGGAGGGGGATGAGGGTCATGATGAGAAACATGATGAGGAACATGATGAGGAACATGATGAGAATGAAAAAAGTGGAAACGAGAGTGAAGATGGTGATGAAGGGGGAGTTTCTCTTGAAGCTGAACAGACAGGAGGGGAAAAGATGTCCGAACGGGAGCTCAGAAAATGATACCACAACAGCAGATGCAATATGAGTAATTATTATAGAAACAAAATAGCAATTATCTTGTCTACCATCGATTTTCGTCATAAACACTAGTCAAAATCCGGGGTATAATATTCCAGGAACCATGAATAAACCACACCTAAACGGCCTCTTTTTCTCTCTCCCATCTTTTCAAATAAAAAATCATGCCCCACCCGCGTCGCCCGACCAACAAGCACCATAAAATTGTAAATCCATCCTCCTTCCCCCGGTCCCCCTTAAAAGAAAATTT